TCTAGGAGAGGGAGTCAGAACCTGTGTTAGGGCATGAAATGACGAATATGGTTTGGGGAGCGGCCTGTCCAGGTTTAGTGTGGTTGGAGCACACAGCGTGAGACCGGCAGCAGGGAAGACCAGGTGGAGCCTGGGTGCAGGCCGAACTGTGGAGAGTGCCCCCCTCCTCGCCCCTCTCTCCCGAGTAGCAATGCCTCAGCTCCAGGACCCCACACCTTCCCCTGCCCTTCCTTCTCTGTCCCTGCCTGCTCACTCTCAAGTAATGAATTAATTTAAACACGGCGCAGCTTATCAGTGAATATTTTTTGAAAGCCTACCATGATTAAGTGAAGCTAGCATTTACTGACCACCTACCAAGTCCCAAGCACCTGTTTTCCACTAGCTCGTCAGCCTCCAGTGAAGAGGATGTTCTTTCCATTTGCAGAGGAGGGTAATAATTCTGCAGGCTTCCTTGAGCCAGCTCCTCCACTCCCTTGGCTTTAACCTCAGCTTATTACCACTGAGTCAGCAGCTCTGGGGTGGCCTTTTAGCTTGGACCTGCATTTCCATCAACTTCTCCTAAACCTGCTTCTCTCCCAGGTTCCCTGACTCAGCAAGGCAGCACCTGTTACCTGAGACACGAACTCTGGAGTCATCTGCTCCTCCACTGCCACAGTAATTAATGTTTATTGGATGTCAATTGTGCATCCGATACTTTACTGATGTTCTCTGTTTATCATCCGGACTGTCCTGGGAGGTGGGTGTTAATACTCCCGTTTGACAGGAAGCAAGGCTCAGAGAAGTTAAGTAACTTGCCCAAGGTCATGTAATTAGTAACTGGCAGAGCCTGGTTGTCTGATTCTAAGGTCCACACATCTAAGCATTGTGCCGGCTGCCCCAGTCACAAGATTCTGCGGATTATTTCCTAAAAGCTTCCTTGACTTCATCCCCATCGCCCAAGCGTGTTTTTATTCAGCTCTCATCCTTAACTCCTGGACCATCCTAACAGCCACACCCCCTCCTGCTGCAACTTATCTTCCCAAGTGATCCATCTAAGACTCAGATCTGAGCTGTGACTCTCTGGCCTACAACCTTCCATGGCTCTCCATTGGCTTCTGGGCACTGTGTTTACTGCCAAGCCCCTTGCTGTTCATTCTCTGTCCCTCCTGCTCCTTGCCCTGCAGGGCCCGTCTCTCCCACACAATTCCATGCCTCTGACACTTGACTGTACCAGTCTTCCTACCTGGCAGGAAGACCACTCTTCTTAGTGAAATTTTCTCTGACTTCCTTTCTTTCTTTCTTTTTTTTGGGAGAGGTTTTCCGCTATAGGGCATGTGCGCTCGCCAGACAGACAGAAAGAGACAGAGAAACAGAAAGCGAGAAATCACCCCCCAGGGGGGATGGTCACGCCGCAATCTCTTCTCCATTCTCCTCCCGGGATCTTGGGCACGCACGCACATGCGCCCGGCGTGAGTTTTAAGCCACTGGGTCCAGGACGCAAACCGCGGTCGACTACCTGGGAGTCCAGCGACATAGCCATTACGCTAACTGCTGGTTCCCTGACTTCCTTTCTTTTTTAAAAAAATTATTTATCTTTTTTTTAATTTGACCAGACAGAGACAGAGAGACAGAGAAAGGGAAAGTGAGAACAAGTTGCCAGGTCTGGGACTCAAGCCATAGTCAGCTATGTGGGAGTCCAGCGTGTTAACCACCACACCACCTGTCCCCCTCCCCCGACTTCCTTTCAGCCCACTCCCTGAGACAGACTCAGCTGGCTCCTCCTTCTCAGTGCTCCCCTAGACCTCCTGTGTCCATCTCTGTTCAGCCCTCGTGCCATGTCCTGTGTTCCTGCTGGACCATGGACCACTCAAAGGCAGCCTCTGTGTTTGAACCCTCTGACCAACAGATGGAAGGAATCAGCTGCCACTATTCAAATGCTCATACCCAGCAGCGGGCACTGTGCCAAGCGCTCTGTATATGTTATCTCGCTTGAACCCACAGTGGCCATAGGAGGCCAGCACCAGCTCATCTCATCATACAGGTCTGGAGGTTGCCAGCCTTTCAACTCGTGGCCCTGCGTTTAGCACATCTCCTGGAATATTGTCTTGTGAATAATTGAACAAATCCAGTACACTGACCCAATGAGGATCCACTGGAAGCTTCACAGGCCCACAGGCCCTGCTGCTCTGCACTGATGCTAAGACTCATGCATAACCCCCCTCCACACACACACATACACACACTGCCCCAGCCCAGGCTGCATGGTTTCCAGTACCTGCCTGGGTTTTCCTGATCCTGTTCTCGCTTTCTAGTGGATCAGAGATGGCAGTAATGGTAGGGTTTCTTTTTCTTTTTATATTATGGTAAAATACACATGCCTTAGGGCTAACCAGTGTCATGGTGGTTAAGGTGATGGGATCCCACATGGCCGACTGTGTGGTTCAAGTCCTGGATGCAGCAGCTTGAAAAAAACACACTGGACATGTGTGCATGCATGCCCACAATCCCAAGAGGAGAATGGAGAAGAGATTATGGTGTAGCCCACTCCTGTCCCAAGGTGTGCTTTCTCACATTCCCTCTCCCCTCTCTCACTCTCCAGCACATACACCCTGCAGCAAAAACTAAACAAACTAGCAACAACAAGAACAACGACAACAACAACAACAAAACACAAAACAAACAAAAATACACTTAGAATTTATCATCTTAACCATTTTTAAGCATGGTTCAGTGCTAGTAACTACCTTGGTAATGTTAGAAACCACCACCACCACCACCATCTTCTCCATAACTTTTCATCTCGTACAACCAAGGTGCTGCACCCATTAAACCCTAGCTCTCTGTCCCTCCTCTCCCCAGCCCACGACAAGCACCATTCTGTGTTCTGTCTCTATGGCCTGATAGGGTTACTTGGGGGTAAATCAGGGCTCTGGGGCATGGCAGTGGGGTGAGAGGCTTGGGGAAGACTTACCAACATGAGAAGCCAGGAATAGAATGGGGAGCAGGAAAGGGGGCCCCAGCCAGACCATGCTCCGGAGGCTGACCCAGGCCAGCCAGGACAGGCTGGGCCTGGAGTCAGTTGCGATGGGTCTGACCACTCACCCTGTGCTGGTCAGTGTGCATCGGTGCTGGGGAGGAAGAGGAAATGAGGTGGCTTGGGTGGGAGGGCTGGAAGGGGAGAGGGTGGGGAGGATTAGCCTGCTCCTGAGCCTCTAGGCCACCTAGCCTGGCCCCCACAAGGCCGGGGATGGGTGTGGTCTGGGAGCCCTGGAATGGTGTCACTTGAGGTAGGGGGAGGGTTACAGTAAGGACAGACCTGGGGATTGCTGGACTGATTTTTCCCATCCACGCCTGCCCTTCAGTCCTCGGTCTGGCTGCTGCACAGGAGGCAGGAGGCAGGAAAGGGAGGAAGCCAGTGGCTTCCGCCTATTGAGGAGGGAAAGGAGGAGGATATTGTTCTGGGGTCTCCCCTCCTCCCACCAGATACAACAACATGACCCACACGACTCCTCACGTGTGTGCCCCAGGACACAGAAAGCATCTTAGAGAGCAGCTTGCACATGTAACACGAGGGTTTTTGTGGGTACACAAGGATGTACACACTCGAAAGAACACTGGGGCTTCCAGGTAGCCAAGTAGTCAAGGAAACTGGCTTCCACTTGGCTAACTACAGTTCAAATCCTGGCCCTGGTGGCTTTGAAAAACATGCTGTGTGCATGGGCATGTGTGCCTAAAAGGCTGACAGAAGAGACAGAGGAGAAGGGACGGCAGTGTGAGCACACCCCACTGAGGGGCAGGTACTTTCTTCCTCTCTCTTTCTGGTGGTGGCATGAACCCTCTGGGAAATAAAAAAAAGTAACACAGTTCAGGGCAATGGAGAGCCTCCGAGTCGATCTTCAGTACCTCTCTCGTTTTACAGGTGGGAGTGCAGAGGCCTGCAGCGCTCGAAGGCGGGCACTTGAACTTCCAACTCAGTCTTTGCTTCTTGGTTCTGGTTTCTACTCAAAGGCATACCTCAGGCAGGTGTAGAGGAACACGCAAGGGAATGAGCTTGTTGCATAGACAGTCCTTGCGTAAGCTGCTAACAGAGGCCCCAGCTCATGGTCTGCCTGCAATCAGTCATTTTGCAGCAAACCATGTGTATATCCCAGGGTACCGGGGAGCAGAAGTGTGCCCAGGAAGATGTGCTCCTCTTTAAGGGTGACAGCGGCCCCAGCCCCTGCAGAGCCCCCACATCCCCGTGGATCTCGCCTTTGCTATGCTCCCTAACTCGTGTTTCACCCCCTGGTAGCCAAGGCTCCACCCCTCACTACCACTGCTGGTTCCCAGAATAGAACACAACCCCTAGGTGTGGAATGGCTGTGGACAGAGGTAGGGGCCGGCAGGTGGCTGAGGCTCGCTGGTTAACTCTGTGGCCCCTCTGACCCGGAATGGAACGGTTGGCGTGGGAATGAGACCTGGTGCCAGGTTAGATGACTTGGCCCTAGAAGTCCAAACCTTCCCTCTGGGGCTGAGACTCCTCCCCGAAACTGTCCTGGATGAAGGCTGGCTTCTCCTCTGGATCTACCAGGTTCAAATTCTCTTTCCTGGGGAAGCCGGGTCCCTGCCACTTGTTTCAACTGATTTAGGCCCCAGGATTTTCTGGAGGTTCCTGAAAAATCCCAGGAAAGATGCTGACTCATGGAGTAGCATGGAAAAGAGTTAGGGAAGCCCACTGCACCCCATGAGGCCCACGATACTCCCATCCCTAGGTCTGAGGCTTCTCTCCAAATGGCTCTGAACGGGTGTAGGAGTAGGGGCAGTGGGATGGTTGATGTCTTTCACTTCAGCTCATTTGGATGCCAAGATCTCTGAAACTAGGCTAAGGAAGAAGCTGGAAAATGCTGGGCCGTTTGTATGGCAGGATTATGGGTACATTTTTGTGGAACTTTTTCTTGGTCTGGGAAACGCTGGTGGGCCTGACGTCATTTTGCAAATGTATGGAGAACACGTGGGCAGAGTTTGTTCTAGAATGACACAGATACTGCCACGTATGTTTGCTTTGAATGGAAAAGTTCGAGGCTCAGGACCACTGGCATGTGCAAAGACCTAGCCCCATCTGCCCTCCCTACTTGCAATAGGGAAACAAAACCTGATACTGATGATCCGTAAATAAATACAGTGCAAACATTGCAGAGTTTGTACACAAGCATTTGCATTATAAAACAATGTCCTATAAGTGCGAAAGGATATTTTTACATGTGTGGAGATTATGTTGCCGGTAATTTAAATAGCCACAGTTTCACAAACATACTCCAAATGATATATCACTGTATAAACAAATTTTGAGTGGGCTGCATATACATCTGCTGTTACAATAGAAATACCTAAACCACAATGCAACCCTTGAAGTCTCAGTCACTGGAAAATGATAGGCCAAAATAATGTGAATGCAAGTAAATGGTTTTACACATAGTAAGGCTAACCCCTTCCCCAGCCCCAAACCAAGTAAATTAGGAATGACAGGGCTAAGTTAAATGAATTTATAAACAATTAAAAAGCAAAAATAGCAGCCTGATTAATTCCACATAAGGCTGATAATTCACTGCTAACAAAGCCGCCTTCCTGCAAATACTGGGAATTCCAGCTGCCAGCACGTGGGCATATGCAGGAGTTTTGCCGGGTTGCCAGGGGTTTCAGGGCAACCAGGCTTTCTAGGAGAACACTGAAGCAGAGTTTTCAGTAAGTCTTCCATGCCAATTTCAGTTTCCAAATGTAAGTTTTAGTGACCTGCACTTATAAAGTTATTACGAGTAGTCTGTAGTTGGAACTGAGAAGGAAGATGAATAAAATTAGTTATTTTTTCCATAATGACCGAACAAAGTGTTGTGTTTTGGAATGAAGTAGGTCATGGAGCTAAATAGATCACGTCTGCTGCATGGCATCAACTGTTCCAAGTGATTCCGGAAGTAGTGTATTTTTCATGGCCGACCTGCAGCTTTGGGGCTGCTACTTTTGGAGACGTGTCCTACCTGAGTACCAGACTGATAAAACCGAGGAGGAGACGGGCCTACAGCTCCACAGGAGGAATCCGTGTGTGTGTGTGTGTGTGTGCACGCGTGTGTGTGTAAGCCCCTCTGTGTGCCAGACCCTGCGAGACATGGTGAGGATGCAACCAGGAGAACGACAGATGTCTTGCCTTGGAGTACAGAGCCCAACTAGCAGCAGAGATTGCTTGCCGGCAGAAACCTGGACACTGAGACTGTAAGGCATTTATCCAAGGAACCAAGACCAACCTATTTTGGGGGTGGGGGCAAATCCCATGTTTTGTCAGAGCTCCTCTCGAGACTGAGTCTGTGATTTACCAACACACATGGGGACACCTGGACCGCACTGAGGTTCACGTTGGGAGTTGTGCTTTTGGGGGGAGCTTGCGTTCCAGAATAGCAGCAGCAGAGGTGTTAGTCCTACAGGGAGGATCTAATTTGGCCACAGGAAGGTGCAGCTCTGATCAGGCTATTTTCTTTTCTGCAGGTGCTAATAATGACCCAGTCTAAGAAAAATGTTGAAATAACAGAAGCTCTGTCTTCCTTTTCCAATTTGAAGGGAGACCTATAACTAAACACACACACTCGCATACACACATACATGCATACACATACATGTGATGCCCTGCTATTGCCTTGCTGTAACATGTGTGGTCCTTTGTGGCAAGGGTTCTCTCTCTCTCTCTCTACCTCTCCTTTGCATAAATAACCTTCAATGTTGTTATGTATCTCCTCTATAAAGTTTTTTTTTTTTTAAGAGAGATTTTTGCTATTAGATGCATGCACTCGCCAAAGACACAGAGAGAAACAGAGACAGAAAGCAAGAAATCACTCCCCAGGGTGGATGGCCATGCTGCAATCCCTTCTCCAGCTCTCTCTTGGGAACATGCACACACACATGCCCGGCGTGTTTTAGGCCGCTGGGTCTAGGACTTGACCCACGGTCAGCCCCGTGGGAGTCTAGCCACGTAACCACTATGGCATCCCTCTCCTCCGTCAAGTTTCTATTTTTCCCCTCCCTTCCATAGTGCCCTATTCATAGTCCACACTTAAGGAGTGGAGACGTACGCTCTCCTTTGTAGATGTAGTATCCACATAAATTACTTGGAATCCTTGTGAAAGGGAGATTTGTTTCTCTTCTTCCCCACTTATTTACCTAGCCTATCATTTATTTATATCACTACGGATCATGGATATATAGTTCCTATTTTGGGCTATAATTCAATACTACTTTATTTGTCTTGTTGCTCAAACTGTTCCAGTGTTGGCCACTGGGAACTCTCACTTGGCTTCTGTGTTCCTTTGATACACCTCCTACCGAAGAAGAGCTTATTGTTTATTTGTTCTTTAGCACTTCTTTACTTCTCGGCATTATCAAATGCTGCAGATTCATCTTGTATTACTTTCTGTCTCAGTCCTAGACTGAGCCTGAAAGGAGCCCTGGTTTATTTGATTTGAAAATGATATTAGCAACTAGAATCTGGGCAGCACATGCTCTCTTTGCTACTGGTGTGTCATTGCTTCTAGGCTGTCTCAGCTAACAGGGCAAGGATATATGTGTGTAGATACTAACTTGTGTATGTACAAAGAAAAAGAGCTGCTTAGCCAGCCCCCAGCCACCCCAGCTGCTCCTGCACGCCCTGCCACGCCGTCGTGGTTCTAATTACTGTCTGATGATAGTGGTCAGATGACGCTGGTTCTGAATGAGCCAGAACCACCCAACGGAGACTTTCTGAATTCCTGACTCACAGAGACTATGAGACACAATAAAACAAGTGTTGTTCTAGTTTATGGGGTGATTGATTTCACAGCAATATTTGCCAGAGTATAAAATGTATCTAAATTCTCAGTAATTAAGACAACATGGAGCTGATACACAAATAGACCCATGAAACAGAGGAGAAAATCCAGAAATGGATCCGAATACATACAGGCATTTAACATATGTAAAAAGTGGTATTTCATATTAGTGGGAAAAGTTGGGCTTTTTAACAAGTGGTGTTGCCGCAACTGGGTAACTATCTGTAAAAAAATAAAATCGGATCAGGGCCAGCAGGTGTCAGAGTGGTTAAGGCACAGGACTCCCAGGTTTGAGGCCCAGACCTCGAATGGCTTGAAAATCATACCAGGCTGTGTGCATGGGTGCCCAAAATCCCAGGAAGA